GGGCCCTCGTTTAAATTAATGTTATGAACGTTTGAAATTATAATCTTTTCGTTCTATTTACATTTGTATATCTATATATATATATATATATATATATATATATATATATATACACAAATAAACAGATGGAGATAGAGAGATAGATGTAGATACATATCACTTCAAACGTTATTGCGATATTTTCGTGGATACCCCGTATGTGAAATAGACGCCCCTTTCCACTATTATAACAAGGGCTATCCTATTTGCCGTTGACCAAGCAAAAACAAAATCTAAACATCATTTTAACACAACTTCTGTCATTCCTTTCTGAAATCTCACCAACAATCTATCGTTGTCGACTCCCTTATTGGGGTTCCCTCCCATACTGACGAGCTCTTGATTTGGTTGATATAGTAAAATTATCAAGACTTTCGCTGCAGCACTCTGCGTAGTAATTCTCAGTATCAAAAATAGTTTTGCTTCAATAAATTTTTGGAAGTATTCCTTTTATAACTCACCTTTTTTGATAAAAGGTCTTGTTACTGGTATGTCACGATCTTTGCCAAAGCAAGTACTGGAAGACAACGCACTCCGACAAGTAACACTCGTATAAGTAGCTAACCACTGACACATATGGTCCGGTGTTTCTGCTGTATATCTAGAGATTGCTGATAAAATCCAAAGAAGAATTAGCAACATTATTGATCCTGACATGTCGACTTGGCTTCAGTCACTTTCTCGCTATCCTAATACCGGTTCCCTGTGTCTTTTCTATAAATACTTTCATGTTAATTGTTCGGATGAACTCTTCGATGGTATTCATTGGGGCTAGTTTATAAAATGTTGTTTTATTCCCCTTCCTCTACAGACAAAGAATTGTACATATGGAGACTAGTTATGACTTTCATAGAGACAATGAGGTATTATGGTGAATGTAGTAAGAAAAGTAAGAATGCGTGTTAGAAATATTATAGTATGTTTAAGGTCAGTGTTTGTGGCTAACTAATTTTAAAGTTAAGACAGATGAAGACCGCCCTTTTCCCCCATTCCCCACTTTGGCCTTGTGTCACATTTTGTAAATAATTACAAATAAATATCACTCTTCGCTATGGTATCTTGACTTTATGAACTTAAGCACAATACTAGAAACAAGTTCTTATCAATTTACAGTTAAATTGGCTAGATGCAACCGTAAGTTCTACGCTAACAGTTTCTTTTCCCGCACTTCTCACTTGTGGAACGCTCTTTCCATGCTTTCCAACCAACTTTGATCTTCAAAAATTTAAATGCAATATCAATCGTTATCTACTGTCTTCTTGATTACTCTTCTACTGTACTTCCAACTTAGATATGTTTCTCTTTTATTCTTATTCTGTTACACTCAGTAACCTCTTGTGTCTTAGTGGATTTATTGTCATGCATGGGGTGAAATGATTAAAAATCTACAACCAAGGGAGTAGTAACGCTTAGAATTTATTTCTCTCATTATCAGCCTTGACTAAAGCTAGTCATTCATGTGTAATAGACAATACATTCCGGGTGGGCTTGAATAAGTACATTAGTGAATCAAGTACGTAAGGAATCTTGATTTTTTTTTTATGTATTCATCTTACCTCGTTCTCTAAGGAGGTCGTGAGAGAGTTGGGGAATCACTAACGTGGAAACGTCGAAGGGAGGAGATTCAGGTATGTTAAGATGGTGTTTAGATATCGGTGGTGAGAAAAGACCCAGACGGAAATGTCTTTACCTATCCCCTACCACTATCGTATCCTTCAACCTAATTCCCGGCACTAGCCTTCTCACGACGAGTTTTAGTCTGTGATTGGTGGCGGTAACGGCGGGCAATTAACACTTATAGCAAAAGAGGCGACTAAAAAAAAAAAAAAATTAAAAAAAGATATCGTGTAGACGGAAACACCGGAATGTAAACAAAATGACTTAAATCGGAGATAAGAATAAATAAATAAATACGTAATTTTTTATAGAGAGGTATTCAATCTGTACAAAGCCATGGAGCCACTCGAGGTAGAGGGTCACAGAATAAGAGGCACGGCTTATACGGATATGTGCGAAAGATAACGGTTAACCCTAGACATGAACGGGTTAAGCTTGTAAAGATCGGGAAAGCATCCTCTTGGGAGCCGGTTACACAAGTCAGTAGTTCGTGAGAACAAGTTGCTTGGGTGGAACTTATCTCTTACCAGGGTGATATGAAGGGGATGAGTGTTGTTGGATACAAAGTGCGTGTCATGGATGTTATCAGCTTCTTCTCGTGAATCGCTGCTCTGCGGAACCGCCACCCAAGAAGATATGTCCACGATCACTACAATCTTAACCTGTTCAAATCTAGGGTTAACATTTATCTTCCGCTCTTATCTGTACAAACTGTTTCTTAACCATTTACTCGAGTTTCATCCGGACCTTTATTGTAAAAAAATGGCGTCGTTTTTGCATCTCTTACCATAGATACTTCTTTGATTTTGTTAATTTATAAATTCTGCACACGTTTGACATAATGTAAAAGCTGGCATTATTCATATACGTTGGTATAGTTGGTATGTCTCTTGCGTTGTATCGAAACGATCCGGTTTCAAATCTCGGTAGTGGATGCGCACTGTTGATGATTCCCAAATGGGACGAAACGTCTGTCCAATGCATTCGGCATTCTATTGAGGATTCTTCTAGACTCGATGAATTACTATAATGATTTGCCTAAATGCCCAAAATTCTATTACTTGTATATCCTTGATTGACCCAGCTAATGCTCTGCGATGGAGCGGTTCGGAGGAAAGGAAAGATGTGGCTCTTGGGGGAACAATCCGTTGAGGATTCTTCTAGACTTGATGAATTATTACTGTTCTGTTATCGTAGACTTGACTTTTAATTGGTTAATCAAGACGTACCCGCGAGTATATACTTAATTCTGATCTTAAGCACCCACCCCACGTTTAACTTTTGGAAAAAAGGTAGCGATTTGTTTTTAAATATCCCTACAAAATCATTTTTATCACCAGTAACCAACCATAGCCTGAAGAAGTACAATCATAGTATTGAAACATGAAAGCTTTACTATAGCGATTAATTTTTTATTATAATCTCTTATGATAAAAATATTATAATAATATTTTGCTCTACATTGTATAGAGGTCTTTTTAAAAAAAGTAAATGTTACGAACTCCTGATTCTTACACCACTGGTTCTTTCTCTCATTTGTATATATATATATATATATATATATATACGATAAAAATATAATGTATGCTAAATTTATGAGTTATTCTACCGAGGGAGAAAAAATGTATATTTATTAATAATATATAATTTATAGCCCTGTTATTCCACATGGAGCAATATATTACTAACACCAGCACTTAATCTGCGATATTGTATATCATATGAGCCGTAAGTTTAGATCGGGGAATAGCATAATAAAAAAATATCCAAATGTTGGACAGTTTTAGTCTTTACTTTCTCCCGAAATTAAAGCCACTATACGAAGCTTAGAACGGCTCATGATCAAACATAATAGACATTCGTTGTCTGTTATATTTAACAATATATGTTTGAACAATGATCTGCTGCCCCTATGCACTATATATACGTGTGTGTGTGTGTGTGTGTGTGTGTGTCCACCAAATGGACAAAATGTAAGAATGTTGTCAAAATATATATAAAATTTTGTCTGTGTCATATTCAACGATACATGTAAAAGGAAGCTTGTTTCACAACTACACATTATATATATATATATATATATATATATATATATATATATATATATATATATATATATATATATTTTATTATAGGATTCGAACATATATGTACAACCGCTACGTAAATGCATTCATGTTTCCATGCATATCATCGCATCTCATCAGGTGGGGTTAAATGAGTGTTATAATCATTTTTAATATTTACTTATATACCATCTATTTTCCTGCGAACAAAAGAAAAAGGAAAATAAGAGAAGCAAGAAAGAAGGAAAGACATACGATATAGTCACATCTAAAAAGAAAGAAAGAAAGAAGGAAGGAAAGAAAGAAAGACGCAAGATACAGTCGAAAAAAAGAGAAAAGAAAGACTATAAGATATAGTCTCTTCAAAAACGAAAAAAAGAAGAAAGGAAATAAGGAGAGCGAGAAGGAAAGAAAGACACAAGATATAATGAGATGCGATCATATGCATCGAAACGTGAATATGCATTTATGCAGCTGTTTACATATATGTTCGAATGTAATATCATATAATAAAGAATTATCGCTATACTAATGTCTTGAGCCCTATTTTTTAAACACACACACGTACGCACACACACACGTGCACACACACACACACATATATATATATATATATATATATATATATATATATATATATATATATATATATATATGTATATTTGAATTTGTAGGTCTGACGAATGTCCAATGTAATAAATTATAACCATGGAATATTAGTGTTTGAGCCTTTTATATTATATTCTTGCTCTGTCTTTGACATAGAGCTTCACTTGCATTTTATCCTCTTGTAAATACATATCTATATGTGTGTGTGTGTGTGTGTGTGTGTAAAAATATATAGAAAATAGGAAAGAACTCGTTAGGTAAATAATGCAAAGTTCTTTAGTATTTTTGCTATTATTTTTCAAAAACAGTGCTCGATTCCCCCAAAAAATTTCTCTTGAAGATGGAACAGAGCTTGGTACTTTAATTCAATTTAAATCAAATAATTATATTGAAGTTTTCGGCTCTTGTTTTGAAACATGTGATTTTTATGTAGCGTTGGAATCATATTTTTAAATAAATGATTATATATATATATATATATATATATATATATATATATATATATATATATATATATATATGTGTGTGTGTGTGTTTGTGTGTGTGTTTTGTGTAGGGTGTGTGAGTTTTCTATGCTAAGTTTAACCTGTTATAGTCAATGACAATTATATTGCCCTAATAAGTGGGTCACATCAATTTAGTATTGCGGAATACATCGTTGTGATTCCCATGTTATCTGAAGTGAACATCCAATCAGGTCAAGGATTTGTTCCACCATCAATGTTCGTTCGCATGGTCAGAAGAATGAAAACAATCTACTCTCCGTGGGAGAATGAAAGCTTCATATGGATGTACCCAGTAAGTGTGTACAAGGCTTTCAACAACTTTTGTTCTTTATAAATAAGGCGTCAATTTAAAAGACGGGTAGACCATAAAAGAACGAAGTTTCAAGTGATAATATATCGTATTAAAAATAATGTCGGATTAAAAGAAATGACAGATTAAAAAAAATGTCGGATTAAAAGAAATGACAGATTAAAAAAAATGTCGGATTAAAAGAAATGACAGATTAAAAAAAATGTCGGATTAAAAGAAATGACAGATTAAAAAAAATGTCGGATTAAAAGAAATGACAGATTAAAAAAAATGTCGGATTAAAAGAAATGACAGATTAAAAAAATGTCGGATTAAAAGAAATGACAGATTAAAAAAAATGTCGGATTAAAAGAAATGACAGATTAAAAAAATGTCGGATTAAAAGAAATGACAGATTAAAAAAAATGTCGGATTAAAAAATATCGGATTAAAAATATGTCGGATTAAAAAAAAAATGTCGGATTAAAAAATATCGGATTAAAAATATGTCGGATTAAAAAAAAAATGTCGGATTAAAAATAAAGTCCATTACTTCTTTAGAAATTGCTTTGTTTACGTTTCGGATACGACACTAAGCAAATATGGATGTTTGAGAAATAAATGTTTTGGCGGCGATGGTGTACTTTCTGTAAAAGGAAAAAAGTATGATTACGCTGAAGTATCATGATATTCAGAACCGCATTTCATAACCGGTGTTGTTTTTTTTTTTTCTTACAATGGGAGACGCAGTTTCGATTCCTGACGAAGAGCACATGTTCTTTATTAAGATTTCCTGGTTGTGATGGTCAGCAGACAGGGTTAAAAGTAAAAAAAAAAATATTTATTTTAAATACGAGTATTTTGAAGTAAAAAAAGTTTGGATTAACAATAAATGCTTTTTTTGTTTAGGAGAGACTGAGTGTAAGAAATATATATATATATATATATATATATATATATATATATATATATATATATATATGGGTAAATAGCAGGACAGACCGGGTTCAATAGCCTTGGATGGCAACTGTCCTAGTACAAAGACAACTCTGAATTCAAAACCTGCGAAGGGTCGTTTGGGGACCTTGTGGTACGTAGTACACCAGGTCACTGTATTCGCTCCTTCAAAAACTGTGGACGGTTACGCACGAAACTTTCCCCACTATAGTCAAATCATATGTGCTGTTTTCGGGCTTTCGGTTCCTAGGAACTGATCTGCTTGACCTTCATACGTCGAATACGACAGGAGAGTCGAATATGAACATGCAGTTACTTAATAATTTTCAAGCGACTTGCTCCGATAAACCCTTATGTTGAGTTAAAAAAATGTATCTAGCTGTCAACTATCTATCTATCTATCTATCTATCTATCTATCTACAATGCAATGAGAACGAAAGTAACATATAAATTCTAATGTTCACAGCATTAATCTAAAAGAGGACTCGATATCGATAGTAGCAACTTCCCCCTCCCCGACCCCTCACAATTAGGACGCTTGTGAGGTGATGTGCCTAAACTTTTGACCGTGGCTATCGGTAAGGAATCTTCCCAGATTAGCCAGCATTCAACACCCCATCCATTCCTCACCAAACTGCTATCAACAAACACTATTGTTTCACTCCGTCACCATTTTGTTTTATGTATATTTTTTTCTCAAACAAATGGAAAAAAGGAAGTGACGTTTCACATACGGCTTGCCTACAAGCAAAATTGTTCATAACCATTTTTTGTCTCACCAGTCGAGGTGCAATTGAAATGCACCGAAACGAAATTGCATCTTTGTAGTGAGTAAATTGTTTTTGTCTATATGTTAAAATTATAATATATATATATATATATATATATATATATATATCCCTTTCAGTATCTATCTATCTTCTAATGTTAAGATGAAAAGAAAAGAAAGATTATGTCATTTAACAGAAGCACAAATACTATTAGGAATCCACGAAATCAATCATTTATTCGACGATCCGCTGATGTTGCTTCTTCTTCGCTTCATTGACGTGAGCGGGGATAACAGGACAGAGTGAATCGAAAAAGAAAAATCAAAACATCAAGGAACGTTATTTGTCATAGTGACCACTGTCTCCAGCATAAAACCACCAATGCGCATGCGCACACGAAGACCGTGCGCGTGTAAACAAGTTACCCTTCTCTAAAACAAATAACGCAACAAAGCCGGTGCGAGGCGAAAAGAACACAGCGGGACTCTTATACGTTATTAATGCACTTCTAAACAGGGTCGTTTGGGCAGACGTAAGCCCTCGTTTCAAGTCTGCCTTCATAAAGCTCACCAACTGCGACCGCCCGTCGATGTCAGAACCGTTTTTCACCCTCGACTCTGCACAGGCCCCGATTGAACATTTGCCTCGGAGTTGTGCTTGAAATGAAGGTGTGACGCCATCGTTAGCCAGAAGAAGGAAATAATATCTGTACAATAGCCCCTCCCCACTTATCTATGTGGATATATGTTCCAAGACCCCAAGCAGATGTTTGATAAAACCGAACCCTGTATAAAATAAGTTTTCCTTTACGTTCACACCGTTCAAGCCACACATTAGACAAAATGAGATGAATAATAACTACTAATTATATAATACAATTTGTTCATATCTATCTTTAAGCTAATCCTGTTATCTATCTATTTATCTATCTATATCATATCTCTCTTTCTATCTATATCTAATTCTGTTATATATCTCTATCTATCTCAGTCCGGTCATATCTATCTATCTATCTATCTATATCTAATTTTGTTATATATCTCTATCTATCTCAGTCCGGTCATATCTATCTATCTATCTATCTATATATATATATCTAATTTTGTTATATATCTCTATCTATCTCAGTCCGGTCATATCTATCTATCTATTCATCTATATATATATATCTAATTTTGTTATATATCTCTATCTATCTCAGTCCGGTCATATCTATTCTATCTATCTATCTATATATATATATCTAATTTTGTTATATATCTCTATCTATCTCAGTCCGGTCATATCTATCTATCTATCTGTCTATATATATATATCTAATTTTGTTATATATCTCTATCTATCTCAGTCCGGTCATATCTATCTATCTATCTATCTATATATATATATCTAATTTTGTTATATATCTCTATCTATCTCAGTCCGGTCATATCTATCTATCTATCTATCTATATATATATATCTAATTTTGTTATATATCTCTATCTATCTCAGTCCGGTCATATCTATCTATCTATCTATCTATCTATCTATATCTAATTTTGTTATATATCTCTATCTATCTCAGTCCGGTCATATCTATCTATCTATCTATCTGAGCGTGTACATATCTGTATATATCATAGATTGTCGCAGATGAAATGAGGCATTTTTGATTGGTTGTGGATCCGGTCATCTCACGAAGTAACCTCCTTAGTAAAAAAAAAATCTTGACTTATTCTTGATTGTCTTTCTTTCCAGATTATTTTTCTTTCAATATATTGTAAATGATTGCAATGAAACAATGTCGAGTAATCTTACTGTATGATTAAAAACTGGGTTAAAAATGCATCGAATCATTACATGCGATGAGAATTGGCTACTCTTTGACAACAGTAAGAGAGTAAGCCAGTAGTTAGATGCAAGTGAATCACCAAAACAATACCCAAAACCTTCACTGAACCTTTAAAAGTTAATGGTTACTGTATGGTGGTCTTTCGAAAGGGTTATTCGTTATTCATACTTGTCGCAAGGGAAAACAATAACAGAAACTTCGTATTGTGCAGAAATTGAGGGTATGCACGAAAAATTGTAAAAGAAACATCCTAGGCTTGTGAATAGGGATGGCCCAATTTGGCTGCACGACAACGCACGGTCACACGCTTCTCAATCAACTGCCCAAAAGCTGCATAGCCTGAATTAGGAAATTTAACCTCATCCTCCATATTCACTTGACATCGCCCCTGCTGGTTATCACTTATTTAAACATGTTGAGTTTTTCATACACTATAAAACATTCTTCCAATAAGGAAGACTTCATTAAAGCATTTGCATTGTTTATCACATCAAAGGATGAGCCTTTTTTAAAAGATGAGATCAAGAATTTAGAGGTCCATGGCAGAACAGACATACATCAATGTGGTGCCTATTTCAACTAAATAAATTAGTTTTTTAACATTTCAAAGGCGTTTTATTCATTTCCTATAAAGTGCGTCATTTCATGTAGACAACCTCATAGCAGCACATTGTAATAATCGATATGGGACTAATAGAATCTGCCTTCTTATCGTAAATCGTATTAGGCACAATAAAAAGTTAAGAACAATAATCTATGTCTATAAAACAGAAGATGTCTACGCGTGTGTCTCTCTGTGTGTCACTCTGTGTGTCTGTATACGCTATATATGCACGTCCACATTTTTCGACCGATTTTGATGAAATTCTACACACATGTTGTAAATTTATCAAAGTATGTCAAGACCAAATTTTCAATCTTCAGAAGCTTCCCCCTCCTGGGGGGGGGGTAGCAGAAAGATCGATAAAACTGGAGGTGGGCACGACTTTTTCGCAAAAAAAACAAGGCAAAGTTACACGCGAACAAAATTTTTACATGTTCTTTGCACTTAATGCAAAACATAGCTCATATTACGAGACTGCTTGATAGTTTTCCTGCGACATTGGCTTCACACAATATATTGCAAAAAACTGCGGGAAAAGTCGGGATTTTCGTACTACTTAAAAGGAAATTTAAATAATTTGCTCAATTTTTATCCGATTTTCTTCAAAGATGTCGCAAAACATTTACCATCATACAAAGAATATGATAGTGGGCTTTTAGTCCTGTTCGCTTCCCGGCGTATAACAAAAAACAGCGAAAAACCGTTAAGAAAGACCGTATTTCAGTCTCCTTGGATTTTCATTCGATGCTTTCCAAATTTGCCATGCAAATTGTCACTCAAATTGTCTTGCCTGAATGCTTGCTTTAGATTATTTCATTTAAGTGGATACAATCTGTGACAAACTAAGTCCAAAATCGGTTTCTGCCATTTCTTTTTATGATTCCATCCTAAATTGGCACTCGAAAAACTTTTGAAGCAAAGATTGTTTGAGAAGGATCACTGAAGAGTTAAAAGGGAAAAATTCTCGAAGAACCTCTTATTAATACCAGGTTTACAGTAAACGTGCGAAGAAGGAGGAGGGTGTTCATGCGTTTGCACTTGCAGTTGAATCAAGCTCTGACGCTTCATCCCTGTTTTGTTGATTATTAAATTTGTGAACAATGCCATACTATTTGAAAATTGTTACGGCCATAGGAAATTTACTGAATATCTAAAACATTGAAACAATTTAATCCCGAGTAACGATCACACAAGAAGGTTTTATCGATGAAATTCTTGCGAAGGACATACCGTAAAAATGATGAGGTGGGGGAGTAGCTTAGTATAGCAACGGATGATGCATGCAAGCGGGGATGCAGGCAGACATTTCTAGATAGTGGGCCTGAAAATATTTAATGAGATACTCTCCTGGAGGTTAGCATCAGCCGTGCTAATGGAAGACACAAAAGAGTCTCTAAAAGACAGCAGTTTAATTTTGGAGGCGTTAATATTAACAAACCAGCTAAAAACAGATTGAAATCGTCTTTTTTCGTTATCAGCTGCCAATTTAACTTTATCGAATTCATCGGGCAAAACCATTCGGGCACGAACAAATAGTAATATAAAGACATAATAATAATATAAATATAATATAATATAAAGCAAATAGTAATATAAAGATATGATATAATATAAATATAATATAAATATGAAACAAATAGTAATATAAAGACATAATATAAATATAATATAATAGTAATATAGAGATATAATATAATATAAATATTATATAAAGCAAATAGTAATGTAAAACACATATTATAATATAAATATTTATATAAATATAAAACAAATAGTAACATAAAGACATAATATAATATAAATATAATATAAATATTATATAAAGCAAATTGTAATATAAAGCAAATTTTATATGAAGACATATAATATAAATATAATATAAATATAATATAAAGCAAATCGTAATATAAAGACATAATATAATATAAATGTAATATAAAGCAAATATAATATAAAGACATAATATAATATAAATATAATATAAATATAATATAAAGAAATAAAATTTGCGTGTCGGATAGAATATCCATTCTTACTACAGGGGTTAACAATTTCCGCATACGATTCTTATTGTGTTATAAAAGCGAGAATTTTCTCATTTTCAATTAAGACCATACCCGACATTCCTTTCGCGTATCCGAAATGCCTAAACCCAGCTACTGCGGTATTATCCGTTTCTTAAATGATTTCGCAAATATCCTTCGGAAAGGTATGAAACCATCTCTTACCCCCCAGCTATGGGTTAAATAGCAGTAAAGACTAGTTCTTGTAGCGCTGATTGGTAACCAGTCTACCGCAGAAAAAAAAAAGGCAGCCTACTGCGGGAATATCTTTTACATAGTCAGTCATGCATCGAAAGTGACATGATCTCCCAAGCGTGTATCACTTGTGACACGTATGAAGTAACTCTTATGAATTGTTTTTCTTGACTTGAAAGGGTGTGACTGAAATCTCAGAAAATGGTATCGCGTATAAGTGGGTGTAGTTTTTATATATCACAGTGAAATAGAAAAGGGAGAAATACAAATGAAAATAGAGAGAGAAATAGATAAAAAATAAAAATAAATAAAAATATCGACAGAAAGATTGAAAGAAATAAAGAAAAGAAAAAGAAAGAAAGATAAAAGTCCGTAGAGAGTTGACTTTTCAGAAAGAAAGGACAAACGGATAAAAAGAAGTAAAATAAAACAAGGAAAAATGAAAAAAGAAAGAACTACATACAGTAAAGAGAAGGAGTGATAAGCAAATCGATACAAAGAAAGAAAGAAAGAAGTAATTATAAAGGAGAAAAAAAAGAAAGGCAGAAAGAGGGACAGAATGGAAATCAAAGAAAGAAAGAAAGAAAGAAAGAAGTAATTATAAAGGAGAAAAAAAAAGAAAGGCAGAAAGAGAGACAGAATGGAAATCAAAGAAAGAAGACAAAGATAAAAGAAAGAAATTAAAAAGGAAGTCAAAAGTGGGGAAAAGTAGAGAGAGATCAAAAAGGAAGGAAGGAAGGAAGAAAGGAAAAAAATAATCTAAGACTCGTCACCTGCCGGCACAATGAACAAAGGTAGGCATGGAGCAGAAAAACACGTGTTTCTCTTTCCATAAATGAAGAGAAGCCAAATTCACTTGGGTATTACGTAAACAATTAATAAATGGTTGTAGGCGTGCTTTCATACAACCAATCGCAGTTTAATGTTTCCTATCTAATGTAATCTCAGTATGCAGACGCGTATAATACAGTTCTCTCATATTTACTTACTCTCTCTCTCTCACAGACTAACATACATGCATATATCCAGTTCTCCCATTCATCTATGTGTGTCTGTCTCTGTTAGCGTGTACCTAATATGAATGTGTGTGATATTAAAACGCCCAGACACAAAGAGTGGGTGCAGAAAAGTTTAATTTTTTTTTTTCAACTTCAAATGTTCTATCTGGATTAACATTCCATCGATTTCGGGTTTGTTTACAACTCTTTTGTCCTTTTACTCACCAATCGCCTTGTAAAATTCCTTGGAGGACCCAATCTTAAAACCACTGTTACATCTCGGGCTCTTTCTCTCTCTCACACACACACACACACACACACACATATATATATATATATATATATATATAAAGAAATATAGTTTTAAGGTGTGCTATATTTTGGGGATAAAGTGTCAAATATCAGAGATAGAGCGTATGTAAATATAAAAGTAAACATTGAAGTCAACAATCAGAGGCGACAGACTGTTTCATTCTAGACACAATCATCAGGCAATCAGGCATCATATTATATATAAATATATATATATATATATATATATATATATATATATATATATATATATATATATATATATATATATATGTTATCGGTGATGAACTGGTGTGATCAGAATAAGACGCTGGTCCATCAAGAAAACATATAAATAGAAATTTCCAAAATTATCTTCTCATCTAATCTACATTACTATTTCTCCAATTACCACTTTCATCGAATCTTCCCTCTCTGTCTCTCGGCCACTCTCCCCAAAATGTATATATATATATATATATATATATATATATATATATATATATATATATATATATATATTTAGTAATGTACGCGAGAGAGCGTATTATATG